GCAGGGAGCCCGATGCGGGACTCGATCCAGGGACTCCAGGATCATGACCTGAGCCGAAGGCAGTCGCTTAACCAACTGAGCCACCCAGGCGCCCAGACTTTAGGTAATTCTTAACCCCGCCTTTTCAATTCCTTAGAGAACTTTGGACTCTTTTGAGGTGACCAGGCACATCAGACACAAAAATAAAGTTAAACATTTCTAGCATAGGCCTGTTTTATCCTGATAATTACATCCATAAGGATGCAGTTTCTTGCTCATATCTAATGAGTGATAAACATGTTATTAAATGCTTAGGTGCCTGCAACGTGTGGAGGACTTTAGATGCATTATGTCTTTCAATTCAATCACTTATGATGGAACTACTTCGTGATAAGGGAACCCAGGCTCGGAGATCGACTCGCTTGAGGTTACCTAGCCAAGGAGGATGGGAGCGGACCACGCAAGCCAGGCCGGACTCCAAAGGCCAAGGGTTCAACCACAGGCTCTTCTGGCTCTAGCCCAGGCCACACATAGTTCTGCAGTCTGGATTTCTATTTACAAATGGGGGCCGGCAGGGTGCAGTTTTACTCCAAGCCTCGGGTCTGGGCCCAGCCCCAGGGAGCAGACAGAAAACCCTACCCTTGCTCTTCTCTCCTCTGATCCCCCCGTTTGGATGGCACCACCTCACCGACATGAGCAGTCAGATGCTTGGCAACAAGCATGCAGCCGGGCAGAGGAAGGGGGGTTCTAAGTCCTCACTCAACCCCGGCCACAGTGACCTTGAGCAGTTCACTTCCTTCTGTGGGCCTCATTAGCAAAAGTGTTTTACATCATGACGCAGCCATGTCTATATATAAAGCTGAAGTGAGCTCACTAATACCCTTTCTACCACAAATTGCCATCTTCTATTTTCCATCCCGGGTCATTTCATTAAATAAGATGCCGGTCATGACCCATTATATTGATTTCCTGACCCACTAATGGGTTGCAAAGCAATTCTGAGAAACAATGGACTGAAGATGGTAGACTACAGACTTTTTTGGGGGAGGCCAGCAGATAGGGGAGCAGAAGCAGGGGTGGAGCCTGGCTGCCTGGGGAGCACGCTCTGAGAAGCAGCGGCTAGGCAGCTCCCTAAGGTCCTTGCCACGTTTGTAAGTTGTATGAACCCCGTCGGATCTGAATGCTGTGCTTGGAGCAGCCATTGGAAGTTGATCCAATTGGCTAGACCACAGTTCTTTGAACTCAAGACAAAGCTACTGTGCCCGTGGCCTGAGCCCCATTCCCTCAATCAAAACATGGATGCCGAGGGGCGCCTGGGTGGCTCAGATGGTTGGGCATCTGCCTTCGGCTCGGGTCATGATCCCAGGGTCCTGGGATCGAGTCCCGCATCGGGCTCCCTGCTCCGCAGGGAGCCTGCTTCTCCCTCTGCCTCTCTCTCTCTGACTTTCATGAATAAATAAATAAAACATTTAAAAAAAAAATTAACAAAACAAAACAAAACCATGGATGCCGGGCCCTGCAGGGCAGACAGGGAGAAGGCAGGCCAGAGCCCTCACCTGAGAAGGGTAAGCATGGCTCACCTCCTTCATCATGGAGTTGTCAGCCATTTGTGTTCAGACCCCAGGGGCTCGGGAAAGGAGATGTAGCCCCAGGACACTCCCTGTCTTTCTCCTGAGCAGGGAGAGACTTGGTTGAAAGAAAACACAAACAGTCTTCCACTCTGGCCAGAGCAGATCGTTCTGAACAATGCTCCAACCTGCTGGGTTTTGTAAAAGCTGCCCGGGGGTTCCAGATTAGTGGCAGTTCTTGTGCTCTCCGCGTCAAATGCAAACTCCTAATTCCATCACTTATTTCCTTCCCGGGTCTAACATTTGGGAGCTGCTGCTGGTTACGTGGCTGCATGGTCAATACCTGTTGCTATAAAGGCATTCCTCCACCACAGTGGCCAAGTTCCAGCTGGAGATGGCGGGGAGGGAAGCCTGGCCCGCACATCCTCCTCCCAATTTCCAGCTCCCTCCACCTCCTGACACATACGGGACTTCCAAGGACAGGGGTCCCTGGGGAAAACACCATGCGCTCTGGGCTACTACACTGGCTCAGCTCAGCCCACAGCAGAGGACACCTGGTCTGTGAGATGCTGGTATGCAGTATGACCTCACGAGAGCTAACAGGTCCCTATCCACACCTCACTCCTACTTCAGGCAAGCATCTAGAAAAGATCCAGTCTTGACATAGCTTCAACAGACTCTAGGTGGCTCAAGGACATATCCACAGAGCAAATTAGATGTTGATAGTGGTTTCTGAAGTTCAAGATTGTATTTTCCATCACAGATTTGATTCTATTTTTAAAGGTAAAGGGGTCCACTGACAAATGGATGGATAAACAAAAAGTGGTCTACGCATACAATGGAATAGTATTCAGCCACAAAAAGGAAATTCTGACCCATGCTACGTGGGGGAGCCTTAAAGATATTACACTAAGTGAAAGAAGCCAGTCACCACCACTGTAGGATTCCACGTACATGAAGGACGCAGTGTTGTCAAAAACAGACACAAAGTAGAACGGTGGCTTCCAACTGTTGGAGGGGGGAGGAAATGGGGATTTAGTGTTTAATGGGCACAGAGTTTCAGTTTTGCAAGATGAAAAGAGTTCCAGAGATGGGTGCACAAATAATGTACTTACCACCACCAAAATGTACACTTCAAAGTGATTCAGACAGTAAATAAGTGTATTTAACAATTAAAAAAAAAAAAAAAAGTAAAGGGAATGACGTGGGAGTGAAGAAGAAATCCCCTTTGGAGCTCTAGCTCACCCCTCGCCCAGACCAGTGCCAATCTGAAATGGGAAAAGCTGCCCCAGAGGTTGCCACCGTGGACTCCCATGCTTCCCAGGCCAAATGATATTCTCCTGTCAGCATCCTGCCTGGGTCCTCGGTGTCCAGGAACTTTATGCAGGGTGGGTCTCTGGCTGACAGCGTGGAAATGGGTTCCCTGGGGAGCCAGGCTCCGGCTGCTCCAGGAGGCGCGTGGCTGGTGGGCGCATTACCTGGACGGGTAGCCGGCCGCGCTGATTCGGATCGTCTCCAACACCCCGCACGCTCGGAGTTGCTGCACTGCTCTCTTTGGGTCAAAGCTGCAAAACAGTAAGACAAGCTGTGAGTGGCCATGCTGGCAAAGAAATGGATCAGGAGAGAGGGACAGAGGACTTCTTCCTGCACCGAGACACAGACCATCGCGCACCTTGAGCACAAGGTCAGGGGCCAAGCACCGACAAAGGACACTGATTGGCAGGCGCATGAGCCATATCTGCACCCCAGTTCTGTGCACATTCTTGGTCTCACCTGGGATACGTCATCTTCTTCTTGGCATAACCATCCAAGACCCATTCATGCCTCCTCTTATTAGTTCCACCCACGGAGGTATCTGCGTTCAAAGGCCAAATCATATACACCACAAGCAGTATTTGGCTCAGGAGTTAGAAGGGTGAGTTTCGGGCCAGGCAGAGCTGGGTTTGAATTGTGACATGGTCACTCACCAGCTGCATGTGTCACCTCGGGAAGGCAATATCACCTCCTCGGGCCTTAGTATCCTCACCTATAAAATGGGGATAATAGTAGTGTCCCTTTTTTAGGGTTAGTGCGAAGATTAAACCTAACGGCCCAGGAAAGCAGTTGGACCAGCATCGAGGACAACATTAGCACACATGCATCGTTGCTGCTACCACTTCCTGGTTAAGATAAAGAAACTGATCTTCCCGTCTTCAGAGACCTGAGCCAGGTCTTCAACAACTCATGTGCCCTAAACTGCTGTTTGGCCCTCAAAACTGGGAAGTACGCCAACACGTACGTTGAATAGGACACTGTACAATCAGCAATCAGACGTGGTCTGGGCTAAGAGTCCCCGCCCTGGGAGAGAAGTGTATAGAAGTGCACAAAGCCGTAGGTGAGAACCATGGTGCTGTAAGAGGCCAGGGGGAGAGCGGCCAGGGGTGGCTAGAGCAATCGGAGCGGGGGTGGGGGGTGGGGGTCTTCCTGGGGAAAGAACTCAGCTGAACTAATCTCTATAGTTCGGGCTGTTCCTCAGCTCAGTTTGAGCCCAGGGCCACGAGTCTTGCGCTCCTGCTCTGGCAACCGGGCGGCAGGCAGGGCTGAGGCTCAGATCCCCAGATCACGTTCATTGGCTGTAGCACATACCTCCGCCAAGCTGACGGGAGGCCTGTCTGCCCCATGGCGAGAGCTGGGCAGCTTTCTCTCTAGGACACCAGGGGGCAGCCTCTTACCACCAGTGTCTGCCACCTCGCTGACAACTCTGGGAGTTTTCCCAGCAGCTAGGCCCACTCAGGATTCCGCAGGATGGATTACAGCTCCCCACCGGAGATTTGTCCTGCCTTCCCACCTCTCTGTATGAGCTGCTCAGCTCCCAGTACTAGCTGTTCTCCTACACCAAGGACCCAGCAGTCACTCGAGGCAGAGGCACTGGGTCCACAGGCACCTTCCAGGTGACTGAAGACCACGAGCTGGCCTTGAGTCCAGGGACTCTCCGCGTTCCAGGTCAGCCCTGGGGCTCCCTGTCCCAGGAGACACCCACACTGTCCTCCAGGCCCGTGCCCCCTTGGCCTCCTGCTGTCCCCGAACCTGCCCAAGTCCTGCTACTTTGGACACCCAACTCCTCCAGGAAGTCCTCCTGATTACTCCGGTCCCACGGCACCCATGGCTCTTGAGTAAGGGACAACTGAGCACTAACGTCTTCACAGTCCTGAGCAAGGCAGTGACTTCAGAGGAGTTAATTTCATTTTTTTTTTTTTTTAAAACAGGCAAAAAGCTCCTCAGCAGAAGGTCTTACAGGATGAAAGAAAACCAAAGGAATATAGGTGAGGAGCCTCTGCGATACCCAGAGCCTCTCACTAGGATTATCCCCTCTGCAGCAGTTCTGAGCTGTCGCCAGGACATAGCACAGCTCTGGGGTCCCAGAAAAACCTTAACCAATGTGCAGTGGTAGTGAGGAGTCTGAGAACATGGGGCACAAAGGCTGCTTGCAACCTGGAGTGACCCGAGGCAGCCTTTGCTGCTCTCATCTCGAAGGTGGTCAGCTGGGCCCCAAGTTAGGAACTCACGGTGGGTGTGCTTGCGCTTCGGGGAAGGCATCCTGGGGGCTGCAGACCTCTCCCCCCGAGGCTCTCTGCACCTGTGCTCTCCAGGCCTGGGTCTGATTCAACCTGTGTGCGCCAGGGATGGGCAGCGTGCTTGGCAAGCATCCGTGACCCCTCGTCCTTTGTGGGCTGGGGGCCCACCTGCAGTCCTCCCCACTGCCCTGCTCACATGTGCACTTTCCTCCCGAGTCGGCAACACTCTCTTCCCCGCGGGATGGGGGAAGAGAGCAAGGGCAAAGCAGAAAACTTGGTACGGCCACCAACACCTTATGCCACTCTGGGCAAGGTTTCCTCTCTGTAGCTCCTTTTCCTCATTTATTCAACAGAAACTGAGAATATCTGCCCAAATAGAATTCACCGGTTGGTTGTAAGGACTAAGTGATAGAAAAGAAGACCACTATTAGGAAAAAACCAGCAGACACTGCACCAAAAAGATCTTGTCACCCTCTTTCCCTGTTCATACCCCCCAGGGGATGTGTAAAGCCAGCCAGCCTTCTGTATCTTAAGCTTATCTCTTCGATGGTAAAGAAAGCTCACTGTCACCAGCATCTCTCCGTCAGCCTCCCTGCATGTGTTACCAGGTCCGCGGGAGTGGAAAAGCAGCTCCTCCCCCCCCTATTAAATTTTGGAGGACTGTGGTGAGGACAAGCAACACTTAATTCTGGACTGAAAAAGTCACCAAAGATCTCTAGGGTCCAACCGCTGAAACACAGGGCTATACTTTCTCCTCCCAAGCAATGTGCAGGCTCAGCAGAGCCGGCAGCTGAGAACTCGGCTCCCCTCAGCAGTCACGCGCCACTCCCCCAATTCTTGCCACACTGCCCACTCCCACCCATCTCCAGGCTCTGTGGCGTGCTGCAGTCACACTCGAGGTCCCCGGGACTCCCAGGGTTGTCCACTTCTGAGCTCGGGGGACTGGCCCTCAGGAAACTGGCTAGTTCCTCCAACCAGCGATCCCAGGGGGATCACACTCCCCCAGGCCACCTCCTCCCTACACATGTAAGCACCCCCCTGACCTAGCACTCCCAAGCACCCTCTGGCGGTCACTTCTATGCTGTTGTCCGTGGTTAGCGACTGGCAACGCCTCAAGGATGAGGGACCTTTCTGTCATTCCACTTGTCCTCGCCCAGTGTCCAGTGAATAGTGGGTATGATAGATGTTTTTTGAATAAAGGAAGCAGCAGAGGGAAAAAGACTTTTCCAACAAGGGATGCTATCAAAGCACGTGGTGTAGGACAGCGGTCCTCCACTGGGGGATGCGATTCTGTCCTCCAAGGAACACTTGGCAATCATAAAGCACTTTTAGTTGTCACAGTGATGGGGATGCCACCAGAATACTACAGTGGACAGGACAGCCCCCCACAACAACATATTACCTGGCCCAAAATGCCAAGGATGCCAAGGTTGAGAAAGCAGTTGTAGGGGATGGGGTGGGGAGTTATACAGAACTTCCCTTCTGGAATTATATATTTTTTTAAATAATATATTTTAAATAATGGTTATATATTTTACTCGTCAAAATTTTTATGCTTCTCACAAATCATCTACATCATCTCCTTGATTTCTTTCATCAGGATGATCTGCTTTAGCTACATTTAGCAGATGAAGAAAGGCGACGAATAGTATAGGGCTAACTTGTGGATCAGCCAAACAATCGGTCGTAGAGCCCAAACTAGAATCCAGGTGCTCTGACCTGGTTCAGTATTCTCCCCACTTTATTAGGGCGATTTGGGTCCTGAAGGCAAAACATGGCCCATCAGGACTAGACAGTCATTCTGAAAGCCCCCAGCATCTCTCTTCATCTGGGAGGGGAGTTCCAGCAAGATAATCCAGAAGGTGGCAGGGCACCAGGTTCTGAGGAACTAACTGCACAAGGCCACAGCTGGTTGACGGCAGAGCTGGTACCCAGCCCTCAACTCTCCTCTCCGGGGTCCCTGCACGCCACTCCTGCCCTTCACACGTAATCGAAGTCTTTCACACATGCTGCCCTTCTAATAGCCTCTTCTTCCGGAGTCAGCTGGTAAACAGATGTCACACAGGAGGAATTCCTAACCACTTCTCAGAAATTGGGAGGAAGGGAAAGGAGTCAACAACCAGCATGCTTCAAAGAAGGCGGACTCGGTGTTGTCTTCCTGACCTTTTTCAGCACAAGGTCCATCTGAGTGCAGGTCAAGCTTTATGAAATAACAGGAATGGCAGAGGGGAGTTCAGATATTCACTCGGACGGAGTTGCCAAAAGAAATTATATTTCCCAGAAAGAAATTATGCTAGGACGAAAAAGGAAGTCAGAAAGCTAGGAATGAAGTGCTTTAAAAACTTAGAAATATACCTCCTCTGACCAGAAGATACAGCTTGTGTGGTGGCTCAGGGCAATTGGAGTAACTGGGCTGGGGAGGTAAGTAAGAGACTGTTCTGAAGACTTAGGGCAGTATTCCAGGCAAGTAACAGAGTCTAAAACAAGGTGAAAGAAGGAAGAGAAAAGGGAACCAAAATAACACATTTTCAAGCAGACTCCATGAGACTTTGACAATGACTGGACATTGGGGAATAAGGAAGAGGGAAGAATCAGGTGGAAGGGGGGACGGGGACAAGGAGTCTGATTTCAGACATGTTGAATGTGAATCAGCCAATGAAACCTCAGGAGGCATTCAGAAAGTCTGGTCTGGAATTTGGCAGAAACCAGAGATGAACAAAGACATTGAAGAGTCACTGCTATATAGATTTGGGTGGGGTCAACCGTGTGGGCATGGATAGAATTGGAAGACGATATCCAAGATAGGGGTAGAAGAATTTAGACCAGAGGAGGCTGAGGGGAGGGGAGGGGTGGGGTGGGGGAAGGTGAGTAGGTATGAATAACTCTGGAAGCTCAGTGGTAGAGGGGATGTGAGAAATAGGACCATCATGTCTCATCACTCAACACGTCATTTGAGGTCAAGGTTCCCCCATGGAAGACATCTTCTCTGACCACTCCAGCTATCCTGCCACCTCCGAATTGAATATTTGCTATGAGACACAGGTACATCTACATTTACACACTTTTATGTGGTTCTCTGTTTGATTCAGGTATGCACACTCAACACCACTGTAAACTCCGTGTGATTAGGGAACTATATCCTCTCATCCTCTCGCATCTTTCTAGACAGCAGACAGGTGGAACTTGGTAAATGTCTGTTGGCCTGTGTTTAGCACGTAAACCATCTGTGAAGTGTAAGATCAACTATTCATCCTGCTGCAGACCACCCCAACCCACTCTCTTCCACCTGAACTTTTAAGGAAACATGAAGAGGCCAGGCTTGATCAGCCTGACTGCAGCCGAGAGGCAGCTGGCCAATGCCCGCACAGGCACTTACTGGAAGGGGAGCTTCTCGTCGTTCGGTTTGATGCAGCGCACATAGTGTGGTGTTGTGGCATTCAGGGTCTCCATGAGCAGATGCAGGGAGGTACGGAACTGGAGAGACAAGAGTCAGTGCCCAGTTATTTTTAACATTCTGCAGAGGTATAATTAACAAAGAAATGCCCAGAGATTGGTGGTGATAGTTGTTGATACCGTTATCATCATCATGAATCCAGGAAGGACAGGACAAAATTCAGAGACCCGGGGTCAGATTCTCCCTGACACTCCTGCCTTGCTGTAGGTCCAAAATCAAGGCCCTGCCGCATTCAGGCATTAGGACTCTTTAAACCAAATGGGGGGGAGCCCAGCTGCTAACACATCTAACCCAGCATGGTAGATCAAATGAGATGAGAGGGGGTCAGTGCTAGGACATAGGACAGAAGTCATCACGGTGACTGGAGGCTGGTTATTCCTAAACCAGAGGCCGGGGAGCCCCAAATTCCAGTGCCTGGGCGTCCTGGAAGTTATGAGAGTAATGTGAAAAGTCTAGAACAGGCAAGTCCACTGCAAGAGAAAGGTTCGTGGCTGCCGGGCTGGACATAGAATCCCACGAAGACCCCACAGAAGGGGCTTCAGTTTTCTAGTCCCCAGACTTCTTTAACCCAACCTGTGGATTCGAGGACCCTCTTGCCTCTTCTACCAGGTCTCTGTGGTCCTATCAGGGGAACTAAATGCACTGCTTGGGGCTATACTCATCCCCTTTCTCTTTTCGGTCTGTTCTCTCTAGAGAGGGCTTTCCAGTGTCCCTCTTCAAAGAGGACATAAGGACTGAGCTGGGGGCTGAGGCTGCGGATGAGGAGGCTGCTCTGGCCTCCCTCTGACTCTGCAGCCATCCTCCATCTGCAGACAGGCCGGCCTGGTCACGTGCATCCTGACCCACAGCGTCCTGCCAGAGGCTGACCTGGTGGCCCACAGTTTTCTTGTGCTCCTTGTTGGATGCTTTCAGGGGGGGTCTGGCGGAGCGAATGTTGATCTTTGAAGAAGAGCCCTTCCCAGATGTAGTGGTGGCAGGAACGGAGTCCTTGTCATCGTGAAACAAGTTAGCCACTAGTGGGAACTAGAAACAAAGACAGGAAGAACACTGTAGCTTTCCAGTACATACCCAAGAGACCTGAAAACACACATCCATACACAAACTTGTACACCCAAGTCCATAACCACATTATTCACAGCAGTCACAAAGCGGGAACAACGCAAATATCAATCAGCTGATAAACAGAACGTGGCAGATCCGTACAATGGAATACTGTCCAATGACCTAGGGGAATGAAGTCCCCATATGCACGGCAGCATGGATGAACCCTGGAAACATGCCAAGTTAAAGAAGCTAGATGCAAAAGGCCATGTTGTGCATGATTCCATTTACATGAAATGTCCAGGGAACAGAAAGGAGTTCAGTGGTGGCTAGGGGAGAAGAAAGTATAGAGTGTCTTTTTGGAGTAATGCACGTTTTCTAGAATTTAGAATTTCTCCTCTCTGCTCATCCTGAGAGGCCCATCTCTTAAGGCCCAGCCCTGCCTTCTCCATGGGCTTTCCTGGGTCACCCCCTCATGTCTCCATCATGCACCCAAGTACCAGCCGAGGTCTGTGCTGGGCCCTGAGCCCCATGCTTGCTGAGCCTAAGGCCTTCTGGGCTCCCCCTCGATGGAGGAGGAGGGCAGGGAAAAGGATTAAAGGAGATAGTTCATGTAAGCATAGAGTAGTGTGCCCAGCATATCATAAGCACTCAAACACTGCCAGGGGGATATACGTGAGAAATCTGTCCACGTGGTAAATGTTTTGAGCTACAGAGGAAACTCAGAATCATAGAATTTGAGAGCTGGAGCACAGAGCATAAAGATCACCTCTTCGAGGGGCAGGTAAGGAAAAAACTCAGGGAGAAAGGATCCTCCAGAATCCTGCTTCCGTCTCCATTTGTCCCAGCACCGGGCATGGTGGTCGGTATCGGCTCACCCGGGGCTGCTGGTTAGTGACGGAGCCAGGGCCAGAACCCCGGCTTCCAGATGTCCCAATCAGAGCCTGTTTCAATATATAACGGTCTCCTGGTCTTTTATACCAGCAATGTCAAGAAACTGGAAAGGCACATGGGTTTAAGATACGGTCCATCTCTGATGCACCTGTGCATCCTCCTCCTTATTGGAGGCTTTTCGCAAGGTGGGGGGCTGGGATCTGGTGGAGCCAGCACTGGTCTTTGAAAGTGATCCATTCTCAGATGTGATGGTGGCAGGAACAGGGTCCTTACCATCACGAGAGAAGGAAGAACACATAAAAGGGAGCTTCATGAAACATCCCTGCAGATGACAGCATCCCATGAAATCTGTAGCAGGAGACTGAGGCTAAGGAAAGCTTGAAGGGCAACATCATCTCCATGGAAGGCTACAGGTTCAGATGGCAGTGACAGTCCACTTACGCTGACATCGTCCTGCGTTTAACTTTCCAGACCTTCCGCAAGTTCAGTACCAGTTTAAAGGAGTACTTACTGAGCACCAAGCCAACAGCTTGGGAAGTAGAAGAATCCTATAAAGCAGAGACCCAAATTTCACAATTTAATGGCACACTCCCATCAGTACTCCACACATCAGTATTTCAGGGGTATTCAAAAAAGTCCTAGAAGCTGTGTTAGGCAACACATATGGGCTTTCTCATATTCCAACCCAGCGTAGGCCCCAGCTCATCCCTTCCTGCAATCAGACATGCCTCACAGCATGTCATCGTGATGTAAATATAAACATTTGAGGTCTCGGCATATTAGTATATTACAACATCTGGGAAAAGGAGCAAGATGGTGCTAGGGGCACCATAACTGTTCCAGAACCTGGGGGTTAGATCCGGGCGACTTAGTTCACTCAAAGGCGGTTTCCACAACCTTATTACGTAGCATGCTTGGGTTGCAAGGTGATATGACTGGGGGGTTGTAAAACATGCAGGGACGATCCCATCCCCTTGGGGGCTATCTGCCATTTGATCTCCCCCAGGACATGGGTAGGATCAGTGGCAATAAGTGCAGGCATTTTCTGTGCGAAACTAGGTAGGTGCAGATGTATTGCTCACTGAGCATCCCTCAGTTTGAGGACCTCTGCTATTCTTTGCATATTAAGGTAACTTGTAGGATTTCCGTAGGTCAAAGGCCTAATTTCACCAAGCCTTAAGTCTGGTCCTGTGCAGAAATATCTCACAGAGAAGAGCACATAGAAGGTTATGATGATTAACGCTGAAGACCAGCATCAAATGCTGGTTCGAATTATGAGTAGATCTTCTGTATCAAGATTTCACACTAAAACAGAGGAAACAAAATACTTCCTCCTAACCTCACTCTTAGGTATTATCAGTTAACAGTTTTTAAGCCTTCAATTTGAGAGTCCAAAGTAATTGCATACCACAAGTCAAGAGTTTTATACCACACATTAGCTAGCCATTTGCACTCTGCACTTGTCGCTGATCACAAACACACCAGTCATCAGAAGCTCCTGACTTCCATTTCTTTTTAAATTTTTTTTTACTTATTTATTTGAGAGAGAGAGAATGAGAGAGAGAGCACATGAGAGGGGGGAGGGTTAGAGGGAGAAGCAGACTCCCTGCCGAGCAGGGAGCCCGATGCGGGACTCGATCCAGGGACTCCAGGATCATGACCTGAGCCGAAGGCAGTCGCTTAACCAACTGAGCCACCCAGGCACCCTCCTGACTTCCATTTCTTACCGCAGTGATCTACATGCAAATAAAGGTTGTGGTTCTTTAACTCCATGGTCTGGGTTTGCAGTTCAGTCTAAAAGTACCAACTAATGACCTTAAGACCAAAGATCATCTCGGATAAGCAGCTTAAGCCCATCCTCACTGTGACTGACATCAGCTGGTGACGACACCATAGCACTAGGAAAAGCTACCATATTCCTGAATAAGACACGCCCCAATCCCTGCCGTAGGTCCTTATTGTCAGCCAAGTGGCTTGGGAGTTCACCCCAGTGAGATAGTTTCAGGTGCCAACGGGTGACAATTCAGTTCCTATTTCAGCATTTTTGGAACTAGATCAACAACTTTTGTCCACACATGGTATTTCAAAATCATAAATACTGCCTTTCTCAAGGGGGAAGTAATTAGGCTATCAGAGGAATAAAGATGACTCCGATAGGATTTTAAAAATCTGTGGCTAAAATGTGCATGTGCCAACATCATAAAAATGATAAACTCATTATTTCCATGTGCTTTCAAAGACCAGGAAGTAAATATTAGTAAATATTGTCAAGCAACTAGACGGACTGGTTTGTTCATTCACTCACCAATACTTAAATGACTGCCACACATCCAACAAATAAATACTGTGCTTGGAGCTGGGAACACAAAGATGAACAAAGCCAAACAGAGCCTCTTAGGTATCATGGAGTTTATGATCTAGCATGGAAGGTGAACTCTCATCAATTAACCCCATAATTAAAAGTTTAATGACAAAAAGATGATTTCCTCAAGGAAATAAACAACAGATGCACATGACCGAATCAGGGCCCCAGGGTAGAAATCAGGAAAGGCTTCTCTTAGAAAGTGATGTTGGAGCTGGTGGGTCATTCGGGGGGCGGGGCGGGGCGGGGGGGGTGGTTAGGAAAGCATGTCAGCAAAATATCTGCATGTTCAGGGAACTGACATAATGCCAATACGGTTTTCGTACACATCCCGAGGGGGAAGCAAGAGGGACCAGCTCATGCAAAATCCTCTATTGATGATTTGGGTCTTTATCCTAAAAGCAATGTGAAGCCATTAAGGGTGTTTTTTTTTTTTTTTTTGGTTTGCGGTTTTAAATAAGAGCAGCTAACATTTATTGAGCACTTAGAATATACCAAGCATAAAATTCATTCAGTTCTCCCAATGACCACTTGGTGTGACATCCCATTTTACAGATGGGGAAACACAGGCTCAGAGCCCAAGATCACAGAGGTGGTCAGTGGCAAAGCTACGAATCGCATCCAGATGGCCTGGCTCCAGAGCCCACACAGTGGGTCACAGAGGGGAGCAATGACCAGGGATCTTTTGGAAAGATCACTCTGGCTGCAGCATAACAGAGCGCCTGAAGTCCACTGCACAGGAAGCTCTAGAGCAGTCAAGAGACAGAAGAGCCTATCACCTAGCGGATCTCTGGGATGTAAGGTACTACAGGACATGCACTGAGCGAGGGTCAGGAGACCTTTTAGATCCGACTCCACCACTTAATTAGCTGTGTGACCCATGGCAAACCTCAATCTTATTAGATTTAAAATTTCTCATCTGTAAAAATGAGCGAATTGAAAAAGGAGATTCCTTTAAGTCTGACCTAAACTCCTACATGTTCTCCTATCTGTAGTCTCTCCCCTTTCCTAGGCGCCTTCCCTTCAACACGTAGCTATGTTCAAGTTCTTTCCATGCAGGACCATCTCCCCGTCCAGCTGGCTATCCCTGTGCCACGCCCCCGCATCTCAGGCAAGGCACCCGTGGACACCGCCCTGGGTCGTCCCTTCTCAACCCCGATCCCCCCCTCCCAGCCATGCCGTGGTCTGCCCCCCCACTGCCTAAACCGACCCTGAGAGTGACTTCTGGGGACCCTACTTGCCAAATCTGGTGGCTGGAAGTGGCCCAGCTTCACTCTCGGTCCGACTTGTCCTTGGTGAAGGACCCAAGTCCCTTCTGGGAGGCCCTCTTCCTTGACTCGGCAGCTCTGCTTCCCTCCCACAGCTCTTTCCCAGCACCTCCCATGGGCCCATCCTCCTGCCTGTCTCCCCGCAGTGCTGCCGTTTCCCAGGACAGCATCCTCATCATTTACCTTTTCTAACCCTCGTTCCCTGGACAGTCTCCTTCACACCTATGGCTTCAAGCCTGTCTCTCTAGTCTTGATGTTCTTCCGCAACTACGATCTGCAGTTCCAACTATCTGCTCCTTATCTTCCTCCCTGTGTGTGTTCCACTGGAAACTCCAAATCTGACATGGCCTACATGGCCCTCACCCACCAACTGCCCAAATTTGTATTAGAGAGCCTGCCAACACCCTACTTCTTATCCCCACATCCCCAAGTTCTGTCCACGGTCAAGTTCCAGCAGT